GGAATTGTTTAAAAGCAGGACAGCTGCAATGTAAAAGCTGTTCTGGCTATCAGATGTTGTACAGTGTTGGAGAAGTGTTCGAGTTGAAGAATAAAGTTGTGTTCTTGCTGAAATCACTCTCCGATTATTTGTTAAGCTCAGGACTTAACTCTGGTTTTCTCAGATTGGTCTGCCCTCTGAACTACTACACCAAACTGGCACTGCATCAGCGCTTAGTTCTTGCGGCCCTTTCTTACACACCCAGGGAAATGCTGATAACCACTTTGGGGTCAGGAAGCAATTTTTCTCCAGGCTAATTTGGCCAGAGGATGCCCCCCCCTTTCTGGGCATACAGCAGGGGTCATTGGGTGTGTGTGTGGGGGAGGTATTTGTGGATTTCCTGCACTGTGCAGCTGGTTGGACTAGATGACCCTGGAGGTCCCTTCCAACTCTATGATTCCATGACCCTGCTTAGCTTCCAAGATCTGATGAGACTGGGCTAGCCTGCACCATCCAGGTCAAAGCCAGAGATGTCCAAAGCTGGTTTGCTATTGCCTACCTCTGCCCAGCAGACCATGAGAGGGTGGGGGCTTTTTTTGCCCTCTTCTGGGCATAGAGAAGGGGGTCACTGGCAGTGTTCCCTCTAAGCTGAGTTAGTGTGAGTGAGCTCAGTTCTTTAGCCTCCGGTTCACACATTTGTTGTTGTAGCTCAGGAAGGATGGCTCCAGAGCCAACTAATTTATGCAGTAGGCAAAGGGCTGGCTCACAACTTTAATGGCAGTCGCTCTCTACAGAGTAGAATTTTTGCTCACAAGACTCCACAGCTTAGAGGGAGCATGGGGGGGGGAGAGAGAGCTGAATTGCCTTGCCTGCATTGTGCAGGGGGCTGGACTAGACGAGCCTGGAGGTCCCTGTGATTCTGTGACACACACACAGGGCCCATATCACCATTCTGCTTTTGCCACCAGCCCGCCCAAAAGTCACAAGAAGAAGAAGAAGAAGAGATTGGATTTATACCCCGCCCTTCACTACCCAAAGGTGTCTCAGAGCGGCTTACAAACTCCTTTCCCTTTCCCTCCCCACAACAGACACCCTGTGAGGTGGGTGGGGCTGAGAGAACTCTGACACAAACTGCTCTTTTTCAAGGACAGCTGTGCCAGAGCTTGTGACTGACCCAAGGCCACATCAGCAGGTGCAAGTGGAGGAGTGGGGAATCAAACCCGGTTCTCCCAGATAAGAGTCCACACACTTAACCACTACACCAAACTACACCAAGCAATCTGGGGCTTGGGGGGGGGGCAAGCAGGAGACTCTCAGGTGGCCTTGAGGCTGGAGGGAGGGCGCCTCCTCCGTCCTTGTTCTGAAACCCCCGGGGTGGAGGGAGCGGCGGTCTTGGCCGGCCAAGGCCTCCGACGGGACCCTCCGCCTGCCTGCCTGCTTGCCCTGCCCTGCCACCAGGGGGTGGTGGCCCTGCCCGAGGGAGCAGCCTGAGGCGGACAGCGGCCTCCCCCGCCGCTCCTCAGCCCGGCTGGGGTGTGTGTTTGTGTGTGTGTGTTTCCCTGCTGCTCGGCGCGGGTCACATGAGAAGCGGCGGCGGCGGCGGCGGCGGCAGGAGCAGCCGAGGCGAAGGCAGAGCTGGCTGGCGCTCTCGGAGGAGGAGGAGGAGGAAGGCGGCGGGGAGCTGGGCCAGAGCGGGCCGAGCGCCTCGGCGGGAATTTGCCCTCAGGAGCCCGCCCAGCAGCACCGGCGCCATGGACGAGGAAGGCGGCGGGAGCGGTGAGCCGGAGGGGGGATGGCGAGGAGGCGACGACGACGGCGAGAGAGGGGAGGGAGGCAGATAGGCTGGGGTGGGGGACGGCGGCCCCAGACCCCCGGCGAGGCAGCCCGAGAAGACGCTCCGGGAAGCCGGCGGCAGCTGAGGGGGTGGGTG